CGGTAAGACGAGGAACACTTTTGTCAACACAAATACCGACATGATTAAGTAAAGAATTATCTTTGGTAAGTCGACGAGCGCTCCACACGAGGAGTCGGGACGCTTGCGTTGTTGTGTCTTGCTGGTGATCCACTCATTTGAAAAGGGGTATTGGCCAGGAGCGGGTCGAACGAAAAAATATTTCTTTTTCCACTCAGTAATGTTTGAAGAAAGATCGTCAAGGAAAGTAACGCTTACTCGACGACCTAGACAATGGGCGTCTTTACTAAATCGATACCCATAGCAATAAAGGAAGAACTCGGGCAAAAAATCACCTAAAACTATACGGGTAACAACTATAAAGGCCACCATTATTCGAATAGAGTTAGGGGTGAACTGGTTTATTGGTATATCAAAGAGGTTACTTATCGATAGAAACTCAGGTTGAATCGGGAAGCGCAAGCCCGACATTATTTGATCCACAAAAAAAGTAAAACAGCCTTTAGGAGGATGACGGATGTCTTCTTCAGGTTTGGGGGCAACCAAAGCCCAATCAGAGGGAAGGCCACTGTACTCTCTGAAGCCATCGATTTCGGCTGCAGGAGCATAAGAAAACGATATTAAGAACTTTGCCACAGAACACGCTGCAGTTATAGACTCGACTAAAGGAGTCATTATCAGTAAAGGAACAAGGCTGGCCGCATATATGAGGATTTCTAGAAGAACCTAGCGGAAAATACCTCGAGGAGTCAAGTCGGGGTAAGAAGATTCAAGGACTTGGAGAACTTCAGGATCCTCACAAAGTGTGCCCGAGAGCAACGCCTGATTGTACACAGCCCAATCGATACCGAAAGGTGAGGCATTGGAATTGACAGAGCCCTCTGGCTCAACGTTTCGATGAAAACATGGTCCGACATCGTTTTGGTGAACAGAGTCCGAACCCGAATAGTCATCAATTTCACGGGCAAGAGAACCGGAGACGGGATCAGAAACAGGGTCGAGATTGGAATCTAAAAAGAAAAAGAAAAGAACGGCAATCGAGAAAAATTATTAGAAAACGTGACCGTGATTCGATTCAAGGAGGTAAGGGTCAACAAAATAACCAGGATGGCACGAGAAGCGTTTCAGCAACGGGAAGAAGGGGAGAAGAAACAAGGAAAATGTTCCCCGTATCGACTCGACTTGACAAATGAAGGCCAAGTCAGAAAAAGAAAAGGGTTAATCCCTCATAACAAGACGACTAGTAAGCGAAAACACTTAAGAGGAATAAGAGATCTACAACTAAAGATCTAACAAGGGAAAACCGCTAGAAACCTCCAAAAATTCCCAGGAAATCTGATGAACATACAGGCCCAAAGCATATTACCCAGAAAAACAAAAAAGTTTTTATTTTGAACACATCAATAAATCGAAAAGAAAAGAAAACTTACTCATACTCATGGTAGTTGGCAAGGAAGTCCTGAAAATCCGAGAAGAGCGTCGGAAAATTGACGGAGTGCTGGAAAGCTTAAGATGCTGTGTTTGCCGGAGGAACAGAGGGTTTGAAGAATCTTAAGTGCGAAAAGTAAAGATAAGGATAGGGAAAAGATACTTATAGAGAAAGCAGAGAAACCCTAACCCTCAGATTAAAGTTGTATCCAACGGCTGAGACGCGACACAGAATACGAAGCGGTGGAAAGAGAATGTCTTATCTTTTGAGTTTTAAAATTTGAAAAGACTTATACTTATCCACCTGATTCGAAATACTAATTAAATAAATGCCACCTTACAAGTCGAAAAAGCAAGCAGGTACAACGAGGAGCGACGACAGGTGACAGAATATGAGAAAAGACTCGAATGAGACTTCTAGTCGTCAAAACTTACTCTTAAGCTCAGAATCGCTTCGAGTAATCTTTGGGAGGGACTAGATGATATAGCCATATTATCATATAACAGTTTACACTATCAAGGGTTCCAGAATTACCGAGTCAACTTAGCCAAAGCCGACTCTCTCATCATATTCCCTATAATATCTCCAATTAGGGGTCCAAATACCCTCCGGTTGACTCCTGCATGTCGACTAGTATAAGTCGATTTCCTGCAAGGCGACGGTCAAAAGCATATCAAGATCCACTAGTGGTTGAGTATGACCCAGTCGACTCGAGTCGATTGGATCAAGTCGACTGAAGAGGTCTAGAAGCCCATAAATCTCGACAGCTCTAATACACTTCAGCATATCGAAGGGAAGCTAAGGATAAGGAAGGATCTAGAAGCTGACTAGGAAATGGACGGAATGCGAACCGACCAGGGTAGTTTGGACATTTTCAGTAAGTCGGCCGGGGCATTTTGGGGACTTCAGGTAAATGTTCCATTTCTATATAAAGTAGCTGAGGTAACTCCAAAGCCCTAATTTTCATTCATTCCACATTCTTCTCCATTATTGCTGCTGCTCTCTGAGAGCGGCTCTCATCATCTCTTCCACATATTGACTTGAGCGTCGGAGGCTCTACGCCGGAAACCCCTCCGGCGTTGAGTTCTTGCAGGTGTTCTTGCGGTTCAACCACGGTTCAAGGGCCATCAAGTCAGATCTGAGCTCATTCACACCGGTTCATCCCAGATCCGGACGATTTATCATCGGTTCGTTCCAAATCTGAGAAGAGACCCATCACCAACCGAGCACTATGGCATTTGAAAGCATAAGAGAATCCCGTCCTTAGGCACCGAGTAATGGCCATATGTAAGCGTCTCGGAGGGATAACAATCGAGAATCCACGGGGAGTAGTGTTATTGATCGGTGCATTCGTTAGAGAGATTGACAAACCATGATGGTCACTTGAATTGATACTTGATTGTTTGAGTTCTTAAAATGATTTCGTCTTGAGTCCGGATAAATTGGTTTAAGTTGTTTGAACTATGCACTTATGTGAGAATTGTGAGGTCCTGAGTAAAGTTCCATGTACTTGTTCTTATCCATCTATGTGCATATAGTTCTAAGTTGCTTGAGGACAAGCAACAGTTTAAGTTTGGGGAGATTTGATTGGTCGAAAAAAGTGTGTATTTTATATATTCATTAACGTATTTTTATATGCTTAATTTTATCGCACTTATATATTTTCCGACTCATTTATTTATTAGACAGATCCAAGTGCTATGATATTTTTATGATTTAATTTCAGGATATTAAAGTAATTATGAATAATGACCAAGATAATAAAGATTGGGCCCGAGGAGAATGACTTGCGTGGGGGAAAGATTTGCAATTGCTGGACTTTGGTTTTGGTGGGTATTATTTTGTGGGACATCTTATATTTGTGAAGACTTGATGAAAAGAAAATTGGCACAACAACACATTATTTAGAGCAGCCACCAAATTAAAAAGACCTAAGAGGACAAGACTTGCAGGGGCATTATTTTATTTAATTTGAGAGCCACGCATACCTGAGGATTTGACAGAGCTGCCACGCAACAGCCATATATTCACGCAAGAAAGAAGAGAGAACGGAGTCGCTCGGACAGAGAAAACGCACGAGAGCCTGGCAATCGCGGAGGGAGACCGCACCCGTACACGAGGGAGATAATTAATCTCTCTCTTTTATCTAGTATTTCTTTTTATTTATTATGTTAGAATAGATTTTGTTTCTAGTTCCGGGGAAGTCGAACCCTAAGATTGACTATGTTTTGATTGATTATGGTTGATGATTTTATTATCTTTTTGGAATTGTTTGTGTTATTTTGAATAATTCACCATGATGTGTTGAGTCTTATTTAGATTGATCACCTAGATTAGGCTTTACATATCTACACCTGAATTAGGCCTTCAATCCGTAATTGTTGATGTGTTTAATTCGCAAGTGGTATCCGGAAGATGGTAACTACCGGGGATAACACGGCCTATTTAAGTGAACTAACGCGTCACTACTTAGTCTAGCCTATTTTTCTAATTCCCAAAGCGGCTGATTGTATTAAATCTAAGAAGCGTTTTCTAGACTGTACAAGAAGTCAGGTCTAATTGTAGAGCGTCTCGCGGTTAGATTAAAAATAAGAAAAAATTCGGGTAACAGACCGTGTCGTTGCCTAGGGCTAGTAATTTCATAAGATAGCGAGATTTGATGCCAGAATTGATTAGACAAGTCAGTCGAGGGTGTAGACGGAACCGTGAACTAGAAATTTCTCTTATTTATTTTATATTTATTTTTATTTCCTTTCTTTATATTTTTAGGATTTTTAGTTAGTTTAATTATCAAAACCCAATCCCCCCATTTACCGCTTTTATAAATTCAATTAATACGAGAAAATTCACAATTTGATTCACACTTCCTGTGGGTTCGACCCTTGCTCACTACTACTACTAGTTGGTAGAAGTCGGTTAAAAAAAATATATTTTTTAATTTTGCCGCGTTGCGACGCGCAGTCAAATTTTGGCGCCGTTGCCGGGGAGTAGTGTTATTGAATTGTGATTTTTAAGTAC